CAATAAAAAATAATTCAAAAAATACTAGAATTCACCTAAACTTTTAAATTAAGTGTTATGGTAATAAGAATCATACTTTCATAAAGGAAAATTCACAACTTCAGTTAATAAATAGTATGTAAAATATATTTATACTGTCATTTATACTGCCTCATTTTCTTTTTTATATGAAATATACTGAAAACCACAAAAAAGGTGTAGAAAAACCCACCCATAATCACTGCATAAAAATTATATACTGATCTTGTAATGCTAATATAACACAGTACATTTTACTAAACAATTTAGAGTTTTCTGTAATTACTTGCAGCAATACATAGGTATAATTTGTTCCTTTCCTTCCTTCATTATACTTATTTATTCATTTATTTATTTTGCTAGGCACAAAAAGCAGAAAGATGGCAAATCTCTGCCCTCAAGGCATTCACAATTTTGAGGAAGGCAGTAAATAAACAGTTAAAATATTAATCAGTGGCATAATAAAAGTATGCATGAAATGCACAAGGTATTATGGGGTACAAAAGAAAGAGCCCGTGAAACTGCCTCCTTAAGACAAAGAAGGCTCCACAGAAGAAGTGATAAATTAGCTCTCTTCAAAGACAAGGGAGGAAAGGCATTTCAGGCAGGCGAACTGACATATGCCAAAGCATGGAATCAGGCTTAGCATGTTTGGGAACCTGCACATTGTTCAGGATGTTTAGAACTCAAGGTATGTATAAAGAAGTTATAGGAGAGGATGTCAACAGAACAGACCAATATAATGAAAAGCTTTGAATGCCGGGCTAAGAAATTTGGAGATACACTGTATCCTTTGAAATATTTTGTGAACAGAAAAGACAAAGACAACTACAGCAGTATTGTGAATGAGACTAGGATAGAAGAAAGAAGGCTACTGCAATACCTCAGGAGAGAAACAATACTAAGGAAAGAGCAAAGAGATACAGAAGTAAGGATAAATTCCATTTAATCCAGGACTTTGTAAATAATTAGATGTTGGTACAAATGAACTTATTTACAAAACAGAAATAGACTCAGATGTAGAAAACCATCTTATGGTTACCAGGGGGGAAAGAGGAGGAGGGATAAATTGGGAGATTGGGATTGACATATACACACTACTATACATAAAACAGATAACTAATAAGGACTTACTGTATAACACAGGGAACTCTACTAAATACTATAAGTGGATATATGTATATGTATAACTGATTCACTGTGCTGTACAGCAGAAAGTAACACAACATTGTAAATCAACTATACTCCAATTAAAAAAATATATTGAGCCACTGAATCAAAAAAATAATAATAGACATGACTCCAAACACATGCACACACACACACCTGAAGCACAAGTTTTACAAATAATACTTACACTCATTATGCACTTTTTATTCTAATATTTTTTCTATTCTTTTCATTAAAAAAAGACAGATACAACTAAATTAATTCCAAGACGTATCAATGAAAATAAATAGAATGTAGGGTGGAAAAATAAAACTCAATCATTTCAATAAAGACAGAAAAGGTAAAGTTCAACTAACTGTATGTGTTTACAGACACACATTGAAAAATTGGAAGAAAAAAGTGTATTAGTCAAATACTGAAAAATGAAAGCTAGTATAGCTACCTTAATGTCAGATAAATAGATTTTAAGGCAAAAAACATTAGAGATAAAGAAGGTCACTATATCATGATAAAAAGGGATACTTCAGAAGACATAACCATTCTAAATTAATACAGGCTTAATAACATTGCCTCAAAATTTTTTCAGCAAAAATTAACAGAAATTGTGATATTAAAGATCCAAAAACAGTGAGAAATTTTGATATAACTCTCCAGTTACTGAAAAATCAAGAAGACTGAAAATTAGTAAGGATATGTAAGATTTGAACAGCACATTATAACAAGCTTGATCTAAGGTACATATATAAAACCCTATATCTGTCAATTAAAGAATACACATTCTTCTCTAGGAGACACAGACCATTTAAAATACTGTACATGAACCAGGCTCCAGAGCAAATCTCAACAAACACTCATGAACTGATGTCATGTAGTCCTCAACTTTAAAATATTAGCTTAAAAAAAGAAAATCACTGTGCTAAATCACCAAATAAAGAAAGTAGATAAGAAAAATGAGAGGAGGCTGGTTTGAAAGAAAGTCCAAAGAGGCTCTAGAAAGCTCTCTCTTCCTGCCATGTATGGCATAATCTTCTGTATTTTTGCATGTGTTTTTTACAACGCTTTAAAAAGAAAAATACTCTTAGCTTGAGGGTCATACAAAAACGATCTGGCCTGTAGTTTGTAATTTGCTTACATCTAGAAGAAGGTACTCCTCATTCTGTCATATGTTGTCTCTGCAGTCTGATAGCTGGCTCCTTACTACCTCTTCCAGAAAATAAATCTGCCAGTCAAAAGTTCTACCCAGGTACATCTGCAAACCAGGAAGCAGGCACTCACCAGAACCCAACCAGGCTGGCACCCTAATCTCAGACTTCTGGCCTTTAGAACTGTGAGAAATAAATTTCTGTTGTTTGTAAGCCACCCAGTCTATGACATTTTGCTATAGTAGCCTGAACTAAGACCCTAGATTTCTTCCCATTACAATGATTCTCCAAATTTCAGTACTCTGAACTCTTTCTTTCAACTTATTCACTGCAGCATAACAGACATTTATTTAGTATACAGACAAGTATTCAGTATACAGCTTAATAGAACACATACTCTGACTACCATGCAATTAAATTAGATATAAATCTTAAAGGATAACCAAAAAAAAACCCCATACATTAAAGAAGAAATCATAACGGAAAAAATTTTAAACTCAGTACAACAGCCTATAAAATTTGTAGGAAGGAGTTAAAATGTATCTGGAAAATTTTAACATTAAATACTGTCTGTTAAAAAGAAGGCTAAAGATCAATGAACTGAAGACCAAAGTTAAGGACTCACAATGCCTGACTTCACTTATTATAAAGCTACAGTTATTGAGACTATTTGTTATTGGTAAAAGACAGAAATACAGATCAGTGATTTAGAATAGCCCAGAAGTGGACCCACACATATATGGTCAATTAATTTTTGACAAAGATGCAAAGGCAATTCAACGGAGAAAGGATAGCCTTTTCACCCATATAGCTACACCAAGATCAAGATACAAAATGTTACTATTTTTTAATTATTAAATTTATTTTTTCTGGTAAGCATTTTGGTTTTGTTCTATGAATGCCACATGCCATATCCCCTTATAAAGAATCCAGAATGAATATATCATAAGATTAAGTGAACCCTGGGAGTTGTACTCAAAGGCCATTTCTTTAATTTTTTCCTAGTTGTATGACTTTTGGAAAGTCAGTTAATTTTTCATTTTCCCTTTATTTTTCTATTTCCTTAGGTCTCCTCTCCCCATTTTCTCTAAGGTTTTTCTGAGAATGAAACATGAAAATGTAAATAAAGAATATGGTCAGTAAAGAAATTTGGGGGGATAATGGAAATGTTCTGTATTTTGTGGTGGTGGTGGTTTCACGGGTATAAACATTTGTCAAAATTCATCAATTATGCGCTTAAAATGAACGTAGGGACTTCCCTGGTGGCGCAGTTAAGAATCCGCATGCCAATGCAGGGGACATGGGTTCGAGCCCTGGCCCAGGAAGATCCCACATGCTGCAGAGCAACTAAGCCCGTGCGCCACAACTACTGAGCCTGTGCTCTAGAGCCCGTGAGCCACAACTACTGAGCCTACGAGCCATAACTACTGAAGCCCGTGCACCTAGAGCCAGTGCTCTGCAACAAGAGAAGCCAACGCAATGAGAAGCCCACGCACTGCAACGAAGAGTAGCCCCCGCTCGCCAGAACTAGAGACAGCCAGTGCATAGCAACAAAGATCCAGTGCAGCCATAAATAAATAAATAAATTTTAAAAAATGAATGTAGTTTGTCATACATAAATTATATCTCAGTAAATGGATTTAAAAATGTAAAATAATGTAGAAGCTCCTGGTGGGTGAGAAATAATTGTTAATTTGTTCCTTTATCCCCTTCCTTTTTTACCTGAGAGGAAAAAATGCCTATTTTTAAAAAGTCACTCACTATTCCCTCCATGAAAACTTCTAAAAACTTCCTGAGATAATTATAAGGTTATTTCTCTGCCTCTCCTCCTCCACACTAAATCCCAATATCTTTCACTTTTCCTGTGAATTTTACTTTCCTATCCTTTAGTAAGATCTTAAATCTAGATTCTATACCTCTCACATTTCAGTTAAGTAACAAAAACAGAGTAATTGATGCACATGCTGCAAAGTATCTTTAGATGTTAGCTCTGCTAAAATCTGTGGACATTATTGGTAGTGCTATGTTTTTCGTTCACATATTAAAAGAGGTTTATTATAACCCCCTTAAATCCTGTTCAACCAAACTCACACGAAGCCAGCTACACAAGCACTATTTTCAAGTCTTTTATTGATCACTGGCTATAACGATACTCCCAAAGTGAATAATATTATTTTAAAACAATAATGGCTAAGATACCCTTCTTTGTAAAATTTGCTGCTACCATTAGAAAAACTTAACTCTTCATTTTCTTTTTAATATATCAAATGAAGTTTTGGTACCAACACAGTTATCATGTATTCTAAATCAAAGCAAAATATCTCATGTTGCTTTTCTTACATTAGTGAATTCTATAGCTGTTTTGCCAGAAATAAGTATAGAGTGTCTTCCCTAAATTGCTAAAATCATAGAGAGTTCACTAAAATGGATTAAAAAATCTGAATAGGCTTGAAGCTACCACTACCAATTTTCAAAATAAACACTCTTGAGATTGTGATTTGCCACTTTGCTTTGTTTTTATTTTAAAACCATAATTTTGTTCTATATAAATATGAAGATTGTTCCTCACACTTTTTCATCTTATACTCTGTTCAATATTTATCACTTCTCAAAGAAGTTAGTAGATGATCAAAAATAAAATCACCCTCTCCCCCAGTCCATTTCACTCACCTACAAAATGGGCTGGGAATAGTAGGTATCACATAACAAATCCCTCCATTCAGGCAAAATGACCTATGACTGGGACCACAGGGCTCTTCATGATCTAAAACATATACATAAATAAAATAGAGAAAAACAAATTATAGTTTTTCTAATAAAATAAGGAAAAGGACCAAGTATCTTACACTGAAGTAGTAATTCTAAAAATTAGAATGAAGAATTGTTTCTTAAAATGAAGGACTTAATCTTATTCCTTATTTGATAAGCAGGGACTTCGATCCCTTTGAGGAAAAAAATTAATCTGTCTTGAAGATATGGTCATTAATTATAATGGAATTAAAAGCTATATTACAGAAATAGGGAATCTCTATAATAGATTAAAAGGAGGACATTATGATCTTAAAATAAATAGTGGCTTTTCTCATTTAGTACATAGATTCTGCAGCTTTGCTTAGAGTTCTTCTGTCCCAAGTGTATATTTAGATGCCTATCTTTCCTTTAAGGTCTCAAATACATTAAAGTCTGAAATTGTTGTGGGGAAAAAAATTTAGATTATTAAATAAATTCTGATGTCCAAAATCATCTTTAAATATTTCTACATATGACAATTTTAACATCAAAAAAACAAAAATATAATCTTATTAGGTTTTGGTTTGCAAGGGAATTTTAGGTAATAACTAGTAACTATTCAAAACCTAAGTCATCATCTGATATACAGCAAAAATTTTCAGAATATTAAGAAAATAAACCTCCATTTCTCTCGTTTCCTTTCTCTCCTCCTCTTTCTCCATCCTTTCTTCCTTCTTTATCTTTGACCTTTCTTTTATGTTCTTTCTCTCTTTGCCTTCCCTTTCTCTCTTGGTACCTCTCCTTCCTTCCAGCCTCTACCTCCTCCTCCACCATTAAAAAGAAAATCCCACCAAAACCATCAGACAGAAAAATTTAGAAATAACACAGTAGAATTCATTGAGTCATTATACTACTGTATACTACTATTTATGATTAGAAAAGCAAATTGCTCAATGCTTTATCTTTTGGTCCTGAAGGGGGAATCATATTGCTTTAAAATCGCACATTGTTGGTTACTGATTGGTTCTGTCCAGAAAGTGACATAGAATCTATTGTGAAGAAGAAAATGGCATTATTCCAATTTAGCATTTTAAAAAATAGCATACTAATTTAAAAAAGTTATCTAGCATTTATTTGCCACTAAGATATCAATACCCTTAAGATATAACTGCTGTAGAACCAGATGTCCTCACTATCAGAATCTGAAATTTTAAAACTTTCCTTTTACTTTAGAATTGAGAAGATTCTGTTTCACCATCACAATTATAAAAGTATAAAAATGTAAAGAGGAAAACAGAGTTACAAAGAATTTAAGTGGAAAAGAAGAAAGTAAACCAACCAGAACTAATCTTTTAGATTTTTTCTTTTTTACACAATGTCATGCTTCTTTACAACCAAACAACTTTTAATAAGATAATTCTTACAACTCTTCAGGAATAATTTGGCTAACAAATAAAATCCCAGTTGACATTACATGATGCTAGAATCATGGAAGTCATCACATAGGGTTTCTCCATTGAGGGTGGAGTGTCAGCTTTATCACAGAATGCTTCCTGTGGCTGAAATTAATGTCCTTGTTTTTAATAAGATTACAACCGGTCATGACTCAGCACTTGCTATTTTATCAGTAAAGAATACTCATCTAACCTGAATCACTATCTCTGAATCTATTTTTATTCTGATTTCATTTACTTATTTGTAAAGTTGTTACCGGATTTAGAGTAAGCCAGAGTTTGTCAGTTTGTAAAAAGTGATAAAATATAGGTCTAAAATAAAATAGTTTCATATTATAAAGGAAGGTCTTTCAAGACCAAGGTATTCCATATTTCTAGGACAATTTTAGATGGGGAAAAATATAGTCTTGTGTTAATATACATTTGTTCTTTGGTTCTATTTCTATGTGACACACATTGACAAAAGTATAAACTTACAAGAAATTACCTGTTGGCATCTTAATTTTTAAATAGTTTCATTCTTGGTCAAAAGTTTAGGGTTGAAAAACAGCACCTAAAATTAACAATTTAGGAAAAATTATCTTCTTTTGAGAGCATTATAAAGTGTCAAATATCATAACAGTAATATTCTTTTAAACTTTTAAAGGCTAGGGACAAAATTCTTTGGTTAGAGCATCTATTTTTTTAGATACTTATCACATATCAATAAAAAAATCTGAACAGATAAAACTAAAAGATCAACAAGCAGTATAAATGCACCAGATACAAATCATTGCCTAAATAATATAATGTACTCTTAAATCTCTCTTTGAAGAGATGTGTAATGTTTTACTTTTAATAAACATTGTTAAATTAGTAGCATACTATATGAGATTATATATGAAAGATGAGTCAGTAAGTGAAACTAAATAACCTGAATTGACTTTTCAACTTTTTCATAAAGCCTATTTCTAATTTGACTTTAACAGAACAACTTTCTATTTTTCAGTTTATTAAAAATGGCCAAAAAACACACTATAGAAAAAACGAACTGCATTTAAAAGGTCTGCATTTCTATAGAAACTTTAAAAATTTTATAAAAGTACTTTCAAATTTACTGTAGATTGCACTACATTTACCAATATACAAATGCCTTTTAAAAAATATCTGGCATCTAGCAAAGCAAACTAGCTATATATGAAGTTATCTGCTATAACAGAAACAAAGGAATTACAAAATACAGTTGAAAAGATGACAGATTTATACTTACATTATGATTACATGCTCTCAATTTCTTTTTATAAAAGAGACTCACTCCTGACTTAAGCAGAAAGACTTTGTAACAGAAATCTCAATCAACAACTTCCTATTAACACAGGTGTAATAATCAAGGCCTTCTCTCAAAGCCAGTCACTCTTTCTTAAACAGACAAGTAATGAGAGACAGAAAGACAGAAGTTAAACCTATTTAATTTGAAATAATCACTGGCTCATCATATGAGTTTCTTTTTCTAAAGAAACAAGGCTTACCTCAATAAACACTCACATTCATACAAACAATAAATTTTGTCAGATATGCAGCGCTTCAAAAGTTTTTGAACAATGCAGTCTGAAGCAGCTGTGCCTTGCCCTTTATAACACGTCAAAAATCTGATTTATATGGCTGCAGTGTGCAATGTGGGCGCAGTGGAGACAAAGACCAAGGTGTGCACAGAGGTCAGGCTCCAGCCAAGGGAACCACCTCTTTCAGTCCACATGTTCAGGGTTGCAAATGGAACAGAATTTTATTTAGAAAAGAAGTTGTACTAAAAGCTGCGCTCTCAAATCAAGAATTGGACATTCTTTTAATTATAAAGTATACCACATTCTTTAGACTGTTAATTTATCTCTGCGTGTCTGAATAATTCCAAAGTGTTGTACAACTTTGTGAAGAAAAGGAAGCTGAATATGGAATTAGTGGACAAATGTTCCCTGGGGTTTTTAAAAAAAAGGAATTTCCTTACAAAACACATAACGTTTATACAAACGGTGATTTGAAGTACTTATAAAACTGAAAGGAGGTACTATTTACAATACAGCACGTGTACAATGCCATGTGCAATATGAAATGAATATAATCACCGAACATGACTAATACTGATGGCAATATAACCATCTGCAAACTATAACAAAGCTGTGATACATGCATTAAGGGAAGCTATGAGGTTTAAAAATCATAAATAACTTAAAATATTGACAAAAACTATAATTTTGTTTAAAATGAAGTGCGGGGTTCTTCAGCACGTAATTACCTAAAGTATGCCAACCATTCAGATGGTTATCTTTTCTAAAACCACAATTCAGACATGACTCCTTGTTTGATGTAAAACATGGAAACGAATATATTTGCTCTAAGAAAATATTAAAATAATCTCATATAATTCATATTCTGAGAACAATTCTTTTCATTACTATTATCTTCCACATTCAAAGGCAATTTTTACATAGTTACAATCTTATACATACACACATACATATATATACACACACATATATAAAATTTTGTTAGCTTACAGTGTTTCTATTTTAAAATGGTATTTTTATGAAAAATCAGTAACCTTTATTATTTGATTTGAACTATGGAACTATGATGCTGTCTACTAACATGAAAATGACTACTAAATTGTATGTGAGAGATAATAATCTGTGACTTCATTCAGGATATTAAAGATGTATTTATTAGGAGATATATCATGGCAGTTGGTTTGGTATTAATAATTTTTCACACAATACAAATAAACTTAACCTTTGAGGCTACATGATTCTAAAGAAGACCTAATGTTTTTCAAGTTGACTTTTCACTCTAAATAAAAGCCATGGTCTTTAAGAATAATTTATTTGTTCATGCATCTATCAGATATGTTGTAAGTGGCCTGCTATTGTTAACAAATGATAGACACATGAACAAAAACGGATAACTACAAAAATGTTGTAGGCTGACATATAAACCATATTTTGGCTTAAAATGATAATTGGGCTTAAAATGATAATTTCATGCAATTCAACCAAATATAGTCTCAAGGACACCTATTTATGTCACTATAATAACACACAGAAAAACAAAGCTTAACTATTAAGGAGAATCAGAAAAAGATTCCAAAAGGGAGTTTTATTTGTGCTGAGCCTTGAAGAATGAGTAAGAGTTTGTAAACAGAGACGGATGAACATTCTAGACAGAGGTAACAGCATGTTCAAAGAAACAGAATAAAATCCTAATGTATTCAGATAACTGCAGGTATATTACAGGTCAGGATGTGTGCAGAGTATGTGTGTGGAGTGTACGTGAGTTCATAAGAGGATAGGATGGTGGGGGAAAGA